AAGTACCTCAGGATCCACTTCACAGCTTCCTAGTGTGCCTTCCTCGGATTCGCCATGAATCTACTGACCACACTAACTGCCTGTGAAATGTCTGGGCGTGTACACACCATGGCATACATCAAACTGCCAACTGCACTAGCATAAGGCACACGATCCATGCGTACCTTTTCTTTCGCTGTAGTAGGAGACTGTTTACCAGAGAGCCTGAAATGTGGAGCCAATGGAGTTACCACCGACTTTGCACCTTGCAACCCGAACCTAGCAATAACCCGCTCAATGTAGCCTTTCTGACTCAAGAACATTCGCCGGTTCGTCCTCTCTCTTCTGATCTCTATACCCAGTATTTTCCTAACAGCCCCCATATCCTTCATCTCAAACTCTTTACCAAGTTGAGATTTTAACTTATCTATCTCCACCTTGCTTTTCGATGCGATAAGCATGTCATCCACATACAGAAGAAGATAGATATAGTTACCTCCCCGAAGTTTCCGAATATAAACACAACAGTCATACTCACTTCTGGAGAAACCATGCTTTAGCATGAAGGAGTCAAATCGCTTGTACCACTGTCGAGGAGATTGCTTCAATCCATATAGTGATTTTCTCAAGCGACATACCTGATGTTCCTTATCCTCAACCTTGTAGCCCTCAGGTTGATGCATATAGATCTCCTCATCCAAGTCCCCGTGCAAGAAGGCGGTTTTGACATCGAGTTGTTCCAGCTCAAGATCATGATGAGCAACAATACTCAATAGCACCCGAATGGAAGTGTGCTTGACTACAGGAGAAAAGATCTCATTGTAGTCAACTCCCTCTCTTTGTGCAAACCCCTTAGCCACTAACCTCGCTTTGAATCTTGTACCACTGAGCTTGGTAGGATCCTCCTTCTTTTTATACAACCACTTGCAACCAATAGCTTTCTTACCTATGGGCAATGGGACAACCTCCCATGTTTGGTTATTGTAAAGTGATTCCATCTCTTCTTCCATTGCCGCCAACCAACTCTCGCTATTGTTGTTTAAAATAGCTTCCTTGAAAGTGGTAGGTTCATCATCCTCCACCGAGAGTGCATACTCAACCAAATTTATCTGCCCATAGTGCCTCAAAGGCTCGTCTAACCCCAACTTTAGAACTTGCTTGTAAGTACGGCGTGGCCTAGAGGAAGCCAAGTTATCTGCAAGTTGCTGTTGTTGCTGTGCCTGTACATTCTCTTGCTGAATCGCTTCTTGTTCAAGTGCATCATCACTCTCATCTTGAGTGTCTGTTTGATGCTCCTCTTGAACATGCCTAGAATCAGGTTGATCTCTAGGTTCTATGTCAATAACTTGAGACATTGTAGTCTCAACATCATCACCACCGGGCACTGTAGCTTTCAACGAAGCTACCATGGAGTTCTCATCAAAAGTAACATCTCTGCTGATTATGAACTTAGAATCCTCTACACACCAAAGGCGATAGCCTTTAACACCTGTCGCATAGCCCAAGAATATAGCCTTCTTGGCCCTCGCATCAAGCTTTCCCTCGTTGACATGATAGTAGGCTGTGCATCCGAATGTTCTGAGTTTCTCATAATCTGCATGTTCTCCTGTCAATACCCTGTAAGGTATATCTCCATCTAACCTAGAATGTGGAGACCGGTTCACTATGTAGCAAGCATTTGCAACCGACTCTGCCCACCATTCTCTGCCCAAACCTGCATAGGATCGCATACACATCGATTTTTCTCGAAATGTGCGATTCAGTCTTTCTGCGACCCCATTCTGTTGCGGTGTATTTCTAACTGTCCAGTGTCTCACAATGCCTTCCTTACCACAGAACTCCTTGAAAGCACCATCTGTATACTCAGTACCGTTATCAGATCGCAGTGTCTTCAATTTCTTTCCTGTTCTGTTTTCAACCATTGCTTTCCACTTCTTGAAAGTGTCGAATACCTCATTCTTATGCTTCAAAAAATAAATCCAAGCATATCTAGAATAATCATCAACAAATGTAACAAAATACCTGGAACCGCCTTTGGAAGTGACAGAAGCCAGACCCCATACATCCGTGTGCACATAGTCAAGAATGCCTCTGCTTCTATGTTTGCTTGGCTGGAACTGAACTCGGTGTGCTTTACCGTACACGCAATGCTCGCAAAAGTCCATGCAAGGTTTCTTCAAGTTCTTTAGCAAACCTTTCTTGACTAGCAAATCTAGCCCCTTTTCAGACATATGCCCAAGCCTCCTATGCCATAGCCGAGTGCACTCACATGGGTCTCCACCACTTCCACTTGTTCCAACTGCTACATCTTCAGTGACTGTAGTACCCTGAAGAGCATAGAGATTGCCTTCACGAATACCCTTCATCACAATCAAAGAACCACGTACAACCTTCTTTACTACATTCCATGTTACAATCTTGCAACCACCGGAGTCTAAGGCACCAACAGAGATGAGCTTCTTTCGCAAATCAGGAACATGTCTAACATCCATCAATGTTCTAACCACTCCATCATGCATCTTGATTCTAATTGAACCAAGCCCCACAGTTTTACATGAATGGTTATTACCCATCAACACGGTTCCACCATCAGTGTTTCTATAGGTAGTAAACCACTTCCTATTTGGACACATATGGTAAGAGCATCCAGAGTCAAGAATCCACTTACCGGAGGTTTCTTCATCACAAGAGATGGTGTAGCACTCATCGCTTTTCCCTCCTTCCGAGGCATAGCTTACCTCTTGCTTGACTTGCACCTTCCCGTTGTTGTTGTTCTTATTGTTCTTCTTCCAACCCCTTTTGTTTGGACAATTCGCCTTGAAATGCCCAAGCTCGCCGCATTTGAAACAAGACCTTTCCGCAAGAGGTCTAGAACTCGATCTAGATTTTTCTCCCTTGTCCTTTGGTCGCACATTACTTCTTTCCCTTACAAATAATCCTTGAGCTTGCTCCTTGTTACCAATGGTAGACATGCCACTAGTTGCAATCTTTCGAAAATCATCCGCTAGAAGTGACGTTCTAGTGTCCTCCATCACAAGTTTATCACCCACAAGCATCAATGTTTGTACTAGGTTCTCGTAAGACTTTGGCAATGAAAGAAGTAGTAAAAGTGCTTGATCCTCATCATCTACATCCACATCAATGTCCTTCAAGTCCGATATGATCCTATCGAACTTGTTGACGTACTCCCGGATTGGTGTACCTTCATCCATCTTGCAAGTATACAATTTGGACTTCAAATAGATCCGATTTGTTAGAGTCTTCGTCATGAAGTTTGCCTCCAACTTTGTCCACACCTCCGCCGCCGTTACCTCACTATCAACCAAAAAAGCAACATCTCTTTCAAGGTAAAGAATGATAGACGCTCGTGCCTCAAGATCTAGCTCTTCCTAATCCTCGTCCGACATATCAATGTGCTTCTTCTCCTTTCCCGCCAATGCCTTGTGCAACTTTTGAGAAATCAACAAATTTTTCATTTGCATTCTCCAATATGAAAAATCATTCTTCTCATTGAATTTCTCTATCTCATACTTCCCAATCTTCACCATTCCTCTAGTAGACATGATTTATCCACTTGTTTACCGAAAATAAATCACCAAAGTTCACTTGGGAATTTTCACAAACACCTTGTGTGCAACAAAGTTCAAGCAACTAACCACAAAATCGAAGCTTAACCACCTTGATTTAGGAAGAAGCTCTGATACCAAATTGTTGGGAAAATGACCTCCCAAAGATTGCCCAAGAAATTAAGCTTGACAATGTGAAAATTTCCAAACCACTTGAAGAACAAGAAAATGGGGAAGAAATGATTTTCAATATATAAATGAAGAACAATGGATTGGATTACTTGAACAAGTCTCAAGTTAATCCCCAAGAAAAGAAAAATAGCTTTCAATTTATACCCAAGAAGAACAACCTCTTACTTGTTAAATTCAATCCAAGCTCTCTCACTTTTCTCTCCAAAAATCGGGTGTTCCATGAAGGGGAAAAACACCAGCTATATATAGAATGAATCGGGCGCCATGGCGCCCATGAGTGGCGCCATGGCGCCAAGATCGATCAGAACCATGGGCGCCATGGCACCTGCATCACTGGACCATTTTTCACACTGCACTCTTTCTCACAGGTCTTTTATTTTAGAGAAATGAATGGATTCTGTCAACAGGGATTTAGCATGCTTATTCCTCGATCCTTTGTGGATGAGTAGTGCTATTTTTAAAGGTTATGGCTATATTTTACATATTTTTGAAAGGTTGGCAACCAAATATTCTATTATTCTTTTTATTTTTAAGAAGAGTTGATGTAGGTAGAAACGTAAAACATGTACACACGATCGAAGTCTCATCGTTTTCAACCAACTACCATAACATAATGACCTTCTAGCATGTGTTGATTTATTAATATCATAAAACTAGGTATCAAAACATTGTTGACATGTGCAAGAATATCAAAAAAGATTTAATCCGTCGATTTTGAGTATCAAAATATCCAAAATTCGAAGAAAAAAAATCTTTTTATTTATAAACATTCGACCTACAATGGAACCCTAACTATTGCTTAATAGTTAAATCTTACGCAAAAAATTCTAATGATTAAAATGACCATATAACCATCAAACGAAGTCTTTATTTG